CGGACATTCAGGCCGGCAAATGTTGTTTAATATTGTTTATTATAAACAGAGCATTTACTTAAATATTTGTATCTATAAAAAGAATTTATAAACATAAAATATCTTAAAATATATATGTGTCTGTGTATATCTGAGAACTGGTTTACTCTATTCTTGAAGAAGTATCATATTAAGTAACATATTGGCTAAAAGACAAAATTGAAATGTTATATTTTAAGGAACGTATGCTTCCCAGCCTCGTTTTCGAAATTAGTGCAACATCGCATGTCGTCTCACAGTCATAGGTTAGTCAAGATCAATGTATGCGTGTCGTGTCACCCCCATCGATCAGTGTTCAATGGGATGAAAACATCAATTCATGGCGCTGTATTTTCGAACTGAAATAGTGGCATTTTAAATATCTGATGACATAGTTGGGTTTGAATCGATTTGGATAAAATGTTGTAAACACTAACCTGTTAACCTCTTCGCCGACAGTTATTTTTGGAAAAAAAACACTTCATTTACAGACGAATTTTTTATTTGTTTTTAATATACTAATTAAGGAAGTGAGACACCTTCAAGTAACTGAGAGTTAGCTAACATCTTAACCAGACGTATGTGTTGACAACTGGACTCGTTTCAATCTCAGGAGGGCATAAAAAGAATCAAGATCGACGTATAAACACGACTGTAGCTGGAATTTGAACGTTATATTTTGGACATGTCTACGCTGGCTTATCTGTTCAGAAAATATATTTGTCACAAGCAAAGAGGTAGAAAAAAAAGAAAGAATTCCCCTCTCCACAAATTCTGATATTTGGTCAGATTTTGGCTCGCGATTTAGGGTGAAACGTTTTCAGCACCCACCTCATAGAGGCAAATCTAATAAAAAGTTCAAATATAGCTCACACAGACAAACATCCTGGCATGCTTTTTTTTCTTTTTTTTTTTTTTTTAAACTCATTTGCATTCGCGATAAAATTGCCCGGACAGTTTATGTAAATAAATTTCAATTAATCATTTTGACTCAATTTGAATAAAAGACATTTGATCTGATGGGGACCAAACTTTCTCTTCCTACATTTTTTTAGTCCCAAAAAAATCATCGTCAGTTTATGCCAAATGAGTTTCTTTATTATGAAAAAAACAGTAAATTTTAAAATCTGTTTTTATACTGGAATCGATAAATGTATTAAAAATATTTGAGCACAAGACACAACTGAAACATCTCAGCGATAAACCGTGCCTCTTCTTCGACTCACAAGTTTCGATGCGGGTATCAAACCAGATTTGCCTTGCTTCATTCTTATTAACCAGTTGTTTGTATTCGTGCACTTAACGATTCCAAAAGCAATTCTAGGTTGGTGCCCGGAGATCTTTACCTCTAGAGAGCATCTCCTATTGCATGCAAGTGTAGGCTCTGACGTGTACATAATCATGCCTCAAAGGTCGAAGAAACCAGACAATACATGGATAGCCTACCTTAAAAATGCGACATACAGTCGAGTGCTATATCACGTAAAGGAGGCAGATATTCTATTCTAAATCACTGACCTTGTGTCACATTTGGTCATTATGTATGTGGAGTGGCAGTAAAAAGTGACATTAAATCCTATTTCTTTTACCTTTTTTCTTTTTGCAAATTTAGAAATCACATTTCGAAATAGCGTGAAACGAAGATATTAATAGAGACAATTCGTTAGTCTTGTGATTAAAGGGTTATCTCCCTTGAGACTGTGTTCTCTCTGAAGAACACAGTCTCAACAGAAGGGGAGGAAGTGAACATATCCAAACGTTTCGTGATAGGTTAAGGCAAAATCGAATAATTCACCAAAACTAGATGGAAACGGATTCACATCCCACGCACGATCACTGAACAAAAAGATTTTTTTTCTCATTTTCTGGTATGGAAGCGACGATTTCTAATTTATCCTATCGAAGTGTAACAGGGCGTTTGCAAAGTAAAAAGAAAAAATGTTAACAGTATATTAAATGAGGAAGCAGCAAAAGAAGGAAAGAAAAAGAAAAGAAGGGAAGAAGGAAAGGATAAGGCAGTTGAGGAAGTGAGGGGAGGAAGAAAGAAGAGAGAAGGGAAGGAATAGAGAGGAGAAGGTAGGGAGAAGGGAAGGAAATGAGAAAATAAGGGAAGGAAGAGGAGGACGAATGACGTGAAGAAAGAAAGGATGAGGAAATGGAGGAAGAGAGGGAAGGAAGAAAGTAAGGAAAGGGAGGGAAGGAAGAAGGGAAAGGGAGGAAATGAAAAAATAATGGAAGGAAGAGGAGGACGAATGACGTGAAGAAAGAAAGGATGAGGAAATGGAGGAAGAGAGGGAAGGAAGAAAGTAAGGAAAGGGAGGGAAGGAAGAAGGGAAAGGGAGGAAATGAAAAAAATAAGGGAAGGAAGAGGAGGACGAATGACGTGAAGAAAGAAAGGATGGGGAAGTGGAGGAAGAGAGGGAAGGAAGAAAAAGGTGGACGGAAAGAAGAGAAGGAGAGGTGAAGGGAAAGAAAAGAAAGAAGAAATGTATGGCAGGAAAGGAGGAAGGAAGAGATTGAGGAAGGAAGAAAGGATTGGGAAAGGAAGGAATGGTGGAAAGAAGAGAAGGAAGATAAATTCGTAGTAAAGCTAAAAAGATATCGTATGAAAGAAAGAAGAATGTGAAGCGTATTCTAATTGAATGAATGAGAAAGTATCAAATAAAATTAAAGAAGACCTAAGTGCTGGAAAGATAAAGATGAAAGACGTCATGAAACCCATCAAAAGAAAAAAGAGAGAGAAAGAAAGAAAGAGAGAAAGAGGAAACAAACAAATACAAACAACAACAAAAAAAACAAGGAAAAGAAACGTAAGAAAACAAATGGATGTTTGGATTCTTATTATAGAAGATTATTGAAGCAAGGTCGTATTTTCGGCCTATTTTATTCGTTAAGGTTAAAGGTTATGGATTCATATATTTTCGTCGCCCATCTGCAAGGGAAGCCATTAACAATGAAGACGGTGTTGTCGGTTGGTTATTTTGATTCGACAATTGCGCTAGGTTTCTCCTTTATGTATTACAAGAAAATGAAAGAATATAATTGCAAATTGCTTGTCATAAGAAATAGGAACTTTCAGACATGAATTCCTACTTCTACGCCACTATTTTAATGTTTTAACATGTCACCTATTTCGGGATATTTCTTGACTTATTCTATTCTAGTTTAATATAAGCTTTTCTTATATGGATAATAATAATTTCCAGTAAATCTTTTCCACGTAATTTTAACTTTTCTTGTCGAAATATAATCTCGTCTAAATAGGGTATGAAAAGTGATCCTGTTCATATAAATTTAAAGGAACTGAGTCACTGAACATGGTCACATTATTCCTTTCTTCATACTGCACCTGCAACCTCGAGATATAGATTCGAGGAGAGGAATTTTTTAACTTGAAAAAGTCTGAAATATATATATATATATATATATATATATATATATATATATATATATATATATATATATATATATATATAAATATATATATATATATATATATATAAAGACATTTAGGCGCGTCAGGCTGAATGACGGTTCCGTAGAGGATACAGGATCGATTCCTGTCGGAGGACGAATATTTTCTATGGAAATTTCTCGGACATTCAGGCCGGTAAATGTTATTAATACTGTTTATTATAAAACAGACCATTTACTTAAATATTTGTATCTATAAAAAGAATGTATAAACATAAAAATGTCTTTAAATAATCGTCGAACTTTGTCCATTTCATAATATATATATATATATATATATATATATATATATATATATAAAGTGAACATAGAAGTCAACCATTAGAGACAACAGTCTGTTTCATGCTAGATGCAATCGTCAGGCCACGAGTGCTGTTATTTTCTCGGCTATATTTTCCAGTAACGTCTCTGTCAGTAACGTCTCTGTCTATATCAACCTCATTCCACAGGGGACGGTCATCTTCCTTTTCCCTCCAAATATGGTCAGCCACGCCTGATTTTTTTTTTTATAGTTTTACGGTGTTCCTGCAATCTTATCTTAAGGGAGCGGTCGGTTTTTCCTTTATATTTTTTGCTACAGCTGCATAGCATGGCGTACACACAGTCCTTAATCATTTTAATGTATCTATATAGACGAAAAAATAACAGCACTCGTGGCCTGACGATTGCGTCTAGCATGAAACAGACTGTCGCCACTAAGTGTTGACTTCTATGTTCACTTTTATATTTACACACGCTCTATCTCTGATATTGAGCACTTTATCCCATAAAGATAAGACTATATTTCTTCATATATATATATATATATATATATATAATAAAAAGGCTTAAACACTAATATTCCATGGTCATAATTTATTCCATTGGAATCGTAAATACGATCCAAATCATCAGATTCAAAGATTTTGAATTTATAGGTCTGATGATTTGGATCGTATTTACGATTCCAATGGAATAAATTATGACCATGGAATATTAGTGTTTAAGCCTTTTTATTATATCCTGACTCTGTCCTGGTCATTGAGTTCTACCTGGATCCTTCCACTTGGAAACTTTTTTTTTTTTTTCTGAAAATATACATGTATGGGAATTTTTTTATATATATTTTGCATATGTATGTATATTTTCCACTAATATTGTCTATATATATATATAGATAGATAGATAGATTGAGAGAGAGAGAGAGAGAGAGAGAGAGAGAGAGAGAGAGTGTGTGTGTGTGTGTGTGTGTTTTACGGCATATCAACCTGAATAGGTTATTTAATGCCAACAAGATTTTTAGGATAGTAATTTATATGAATAGAATAAGTATTGTTTGTAAGAAATCACTTTGTAGATCAGGCTTCATTGATGTGTTTTTGTAAAGAGGGTTTTTATTGACAGACAAAAGTATTACCTGTAATTTTTTTTTCAAAAATGTGTTGCTCTTATGGTCCTTATAATAATCTACTTTTATAGTTTCATAATGTTTTGATGCCAGTTTGGGGGATTAACTCTTTTCCCATAGCTAAGAAGGTGCTACCACTCCGGGTCAGAATGGACCTGGGAATAACAGCGGTCAAGAGATCCTTCCACGCTTCTCAAAACCTTCGGATCAGAGGACTTTCTGCCGGATGTTGTTTACAGTGATACCAAGAACGATGGGCACCTCGGCGTGGTATAATGGTTAACAAGCTTGGCTCGCTAGATCAGTAACGACTGAAAAAGTGAGTTCGATCCTCACTAGGTGCCCTTAGGGTGTTGATTTCTTTGTTCAACATCTAAGGTACGCTTAGAAAATAACCATACCCAGAATGATATATTATATATAAGTAACGGTCAGCACACACTCAGCATCTGAAGATTGCGTTTGGCATGAAACTCCGAGTCGTGAGAATGGTATGGGCGTAAATGTATATTTAATGATATATATTTTATAGATATGTTATATAACATCGAGCACTGTTTCAACCAACACTTTATGCGCAATTCATATATTTAAACACGCACAAATACATACATATATATATATATATATATATATATATATATATATATATATATATATATATATATATATATATATATACATATACATATATATATATATATATATATATATATATATATATATATATATATATATATATATATATATATATATATATATATATATATATATATATATATACATATATATATATATATATATATATATATATATATATATATATATATATATACATATATATATATATATATATATATATATATATATATATATATATATATATATATATATATATATATATATATATATATATATATATATATTTGTATATATATATACATATATATATGTATATATTTATATATATATATATATATATATATGTACATATACATATATATATATTTATGTATATATCATATATATATATATATATATATATATATATATATATATATATATATATATGAAGAGATATAGTTTTAAGTTGAACTGTATTTATGGAATAATGTGCTCAATATCAGAGATAGAGCGTATGTAAATATAAATATAAAAGTGAACATTGAAGTGAACACTCAGAGGCTACAGGCTGTTTCATGCTTAACGCAATCGTCAGGCATGCATTTAACGGATGTCAAATTTCAGTGAAGAATACATCCCTACCCCTACCAAAACGTAACTAATAACTGATACATCAAAATACAGCGACAATGAACCCGCAAACACCCCTTGTCTGGTTGAATGGATTTCTCTGTATCCTTGGAAACTTGAATTATGATTTTTGCTCTGTATTTAAAACCCATTAATTTTAAAAGTTACTCCAAATTTCGCTTGAGGATGAAATGGAACTAATGTCTTTAATTTAATTACAAAATTAAATTCGAAGCTTTTAGCTTCCATTTTGAAACATGGTTAGAACTGTGTAGCGAAAAAAAAACATATTTTAAATCAATTAATTTATAATATTAATGCTCTGTAAATTTACATTGAGCACTCTTTTAAAAAATAAAAATATCTATAAGAACACCGGATTATATATCTTACTGTTCTTTCTTTATATATATATATATATATATATATATATATATATATATATATATATATATATCATGTTATGAAAATCATGTTATACTAAGCCAAAGTAATCTCTTTGAACATATGCTACAAGAAACTTAGTAAGATTAAACAAAACTTATCAACAATATTTTCCTAACCTCGTCGTCAGCGAACAAATAAAATTAGCCTAAACGAAATTTTAAAAAAAATGACACCAGATCTTTCCCTGACGCAAACAAAAATAAACACAGCATTAACCAGAACCACCCGATGAAAAAACAATTAAAAACATTACTGGTAAATATCACCCCATGATCCTAACAAACATCTATGATTTATCATCTATTCAGTTATGTCTCATGCGTGATACACATTTAGGTGATCATGTATCTTTCGATATATGACTGACGAGACAGATATTTTTCCCACAGTAGGTTGCCATTTTTTTCTGCGGTAGACCAGTTGCCATCCAAGGCTATAGAACCCGGTCTGTCCTGCTAATTATTCATAGCTGGTGGTGGGGAGAAGAAGAGGTTTCATACCTTTCCCAAGGGTATTAGTACGTAAGTAAATGTAATGGATTCGACTGGAATTCGACAAAAAAAATTAATTATTACCAACAAAACCATAAATCCCATAATTTTAAATTCAGCTTCAAAGAATACCAGGATGCAGACAAAGGAATTCTAAGTACGGCTATTGATAATGACTGCGAAAGTCGAAAGTACTTGAACAAAAATAACAAAATCTGAAGTCCGGACATATGAAAATTGAAAAAATATTATATAAGACAGACACATCTTGTCGGTTATTTTGTAGTCAAGCTTGTTTGTGTATATATATATATATATATAAACATATAAACTAGGTATGCTCTACTCACTGTATTGAGCACTTTATTTAGTTGTTTCGCGTACTCGTATCGGTTTTTTTTTTCCTTTGGGTTTTGGACTTGGATGCTAGACGATTATTTTCGGCTAACGTACATGTTCTTGGGTCTTTCTTTTTTATACCTTTTTTTCCCTTTGGTATTGGTTTGATTATTTGCAGTTCAAGACGCCGTAGGTTTTCCGAACGAGTATAATTTCTCATACTTATAAGATTTCTATTAATAATATATATATATATATATATATATATATATATATATATATATATATATATATATATATATATATAATTTGAACAATAAAAAATATTAAAAATCTTCAGACACACTGGGTTGTAGATTAATATTCTCTCGTTTTATTATTATTATTATTATTATTATTATTATTATTTCATTTAGATTCCACGACTAGTTTCGGCCAAAATGGCCATCATCGGGGAAGAATTATTTCTGCTTGCTGGTAGCAGTAAACTACAGAAATGACGATCTGACGATGGCCATCCAATTTTCTATCTCTACACATCTTCAAAACTGAAACGACGATATATATATATATATATATATATATATATATATATATATATATATATATATATATATATATATCGTTAAAGGTTTTGTTTGCTTCCTAGGGATTACAATACACATAAGGAGTCATTTATTAACCACTTTTTCAATAGAAACTACCCCTCTAAAATAATCAAATAATCTATCATAAAAAGCTTCTTCACACACTAGAAATAGTCTTTTAGTCTACAAAAACAAACAAAAAAAATTGCTATTTGTTTTAAAGCATAACATAAAAAAATAGTCTAATTTCCTCAAAAGAGATTTCCTAAATCTTAAACTAGGTTAATAACGCATTCACCGAAAATAAACTTATTGCATGACGATGGCCATCAAATTTTCTATCTCTACACACATCTTCAAAACTGAAATGACTAAATACGTTCTGAGATTATTATACATGCAATAAACCACCATGCCAAATCCGTAAGCACATTGTCACCGATACAACTTACTTTCCTCCAGGTACAAAAGTTAAAATACACCCTTCACCTTACTAGTGACAACTCCATTTACCTGATTTCCTCTAATGTTTTTGACGGAGGAAATCCTGTTGCTGAGACTAGCTCTGATTTTCTCTCTGATTACAACAATTACAAAAAGACAATTAGGGGCAACTCTAATTATTCTACTACAGTAGAGCATTCCAGAATCATATTGTAGACTGTGTTAGATTTGACCTTTTCGGTTCTTCCTTTAATTTTCAAAACATCGTCGAAAACCTGTAAGCAGTTTCCTTTTCAAACTTAATACTTAGATTTTAGGATAAATAAAGACCTAGGAATTCGTAATGATTATACTTTTTTATATGTCCCGGAAAGGGATATATTTGACCGAAATAGCAAAGTGGTTGTTAACTACTGTAACTGGATAGGACAATCTAGCAGGTAACCGTAATGGATTGGTCCTTGTCATAGTGGTAGGCAGTAGGCTAGGCAATAGGTAAAGACAATAGGCGTCGTCAATCCGTGTACCTCCACAGCAGTCTGTATTTATAGCTGACACCAGCCAATCATATTACTGTGAGGAGGAACCCAGGTGTATGCATATTCATTACATCACTTTTTACAAAATTAACAACTGAAACATCTGAATTTTTTTTTCTTTTTTCGTTATTGCTAACAGCTGGACAAAACCTATGTTTTTTATACATGCTTGTATATTCGGCGCGTTAGGCACCTCGAAGCGGTGTAATGGTTAGCAAGCTTGCTTCGCTAGAACCATTACGACTGAGTAGTGAGTTCGGTCCTCACTGGGTGCCTCATACTTTCGGCCTTGTGCCACATCTGAGCTACGCTTGGAAAAGCACTATGTATTCTGCGCGTATCATTTCATTACTAGTTTCTGACCTTGTGTATGCATTCACGGTATTTACTCGTTCCCCGACTAGAACGAGATGTGACACAAGGTCGGTTTAATGTGGGGAGCCCGAGCGCGTACACCCGGGACAGGAACAAAAATTCCCCTCAGCCCCCGCAACCGTCGGTTGCGCTGGCCTCGGTGCGAGCACCGATTCCTCCCTCTTGTGCAATGGGAGGGCGCGGCTTCGGGCAGCTGTTCCCCAGGGCTGGGCACCTCTTCAGTATTATTTTCTCATTCCCCCCCCACCATCTTTAGACAGAGAAGCCCCTGAGCGCACTCTGTCCAAGGACAGAGACGCAATTGAGAGATTCACAGTGACGAATAGTTGAGTGTATATTTATTTAGGGAATTTTCTTTTTTTTATTGTCCTCCTTTTCTTACTAATGCTACTACTACTACTACTACTACTACTATTTTCATATTCATTATTATTATTATTATTTTAATCATCATTCATATCATCATATAGTTATAGCTAATATATCTTTCACATGCGTGCCTCAATTTTTATAATCATTGTTATTATTAAAGTTATTATTATTATTATTATTATTTGATACTCTTCATCTTATATGTTCGTATATCCACTTTTATTAACACACTAACAAGACAAAGTGAAAGAGAATTTTTAGTCGTACACCTTCAAACTTATAGCTGGTGTCATTTGATCAGAGTAAGGGAATGATCCTCAAGAAGGAAAAGGATTAGAAAGAGGCAATAAAAATCGTGTCCGAGCGCCTCGACTAAAGGATTGGCGATTCTCATACTAAAGTCATTAACGTCCGCTGGATTTGAAATTTAGCCCAGTTCACAAAAAAGAAAGAAAAAAAACAAAAAAACAACTAAAACTTAAAAATTATTCAGTATCAAACAGTGATGAAGGCTACAGGAATGTCCGAAGATTTTGCAATTTCTAAAAGCTTTTCTGTGACCTTACATGTCAACTAAATAAAAAAATATATATACAAGAAATATCTTTGTCATTGTAACACACACAGACACACACACACACACACTCATACATTCTCTCTCTCTCTTTACACACACACACACACACACTCGAATATATATATATATATATATATATATATATATATATATATATATATATATATTTTGTCTATATTTCTGAGATGAGGTATTGTATCTATTTATACTATTTACATTGTTTGGACTATTGTCCTCACCTTTATTGTCATATTCACGACGTTTCGGCCATTGTATGCTCCAGCCTTCTTCAGGATGTGTTTATATTTCTGAGATGAAATATTGTATCTATTTATGCTATTTACATTGTTTGGACTATTGTCCTCACCTTTATTGTCATATTCACGACGTTTCGGCCATTGTATGCTCCAGCCTTCTTCAGGATGTGTTTATATTTCTGAGATGAAATATTGTATCTATTTATGCTATTTACATTGTTTGGACTATTGTTCTCACCTTTACTGTCATATTCACGACGTTTCGACCGTTGTACGCCCCGACTGGATATCTCCGTTTCAGTTATATCCATTTAGTAACTCAATTCTTCATATTTTTGTTCACCACTGCTGTGGCCAGGTATTGAACTCACAACTCTTTTTGGTCAATTCACTGGATTACTTCAACCAACGCTTAGTTGATCCTTGGGAACATCAGTCGATGAAGCTTTGAGGCTTAAAAACCTCATGTCTCAGTAATCTTTTTTTTTTTTACCAGTGCTCATATTACAATTTGTTGTTGTTATTTTTTTTTTACTCTAGCACTTTATGTTACTGGTTTTCATATTGTATTCATGTCTATGCTTGGCCGACACCAGAGTTTTTTGTCGTATAGCATATGCTCTGATTCATTAGTTTTTATTTTTTATTTTTTTTCCAATAACGTCTCTGTCTATAATATCAACCTCATCCCACAGGGGACAGTGATCTCCATTTTTTTCTCCATATATGGTCAGCCACGCCTGATTTTTTTTTTATAGTTTTACGGTGTTCCTGCAATTTTATCTTAAGGGAGCGGTCGTTTTTTCCTTTATATTTCTTGCTACAGCTGCATGGCATGGCGTACACACAGTCCTTAATCATGTTAATGTATCTATGTGTGTGTGTGTGTAATTATGCATACAGTCACCACCATGTGCTGATTTCTATAACATTACTGTCTATATTGAAAAACAGTATTGAACACTCTTTCCTATAAATATAGCAAATTTTAAACAATATATTTTTTTATAGAGATATATATAATTAAAAATATATTTAATCGTTTATATATAATAATATACTCACATCAAAATTAAGTCACTTTTTTTCGCATTTGCCAAGCTCAGTGGAATTGAGGGGTGGGGGGGTGGCTTGAAAAGTTTCACTAGAGCTACGGATGCTGCAGACTTTATAGGTAAAAATACAACGACCTTGGTCAACAACCAATATTTGATTTAAAGTCCGACTCACGGAACGTTGGGGAATCCACTTAAGCTACAACTCAGTTATAGTAAATCAGTCAACCAATCATAGAAATACAGTAGGTAGAATAATATATATATATATATATATATATATATATATATATATATATATATATATATATATATATATATAGAGAGAGAGAGAGAGAGAGAGGGGGGAGAAGAGATAGATAGATAAATAGATAATCTCTGTCCATGTCGCCATGTAAAAAGAATTTTGGCACTGGATATTTGGAAAAAATGTGGGCATTTCCAGATTAGTCTTATTAATAGGCAAAGTTCACTAAGATTGTGTCTCCGTTTGATTCCATTTGGGATTGCTAATGAAGCGAGTTTAAATTTCATGAAAGAAAAGGGAAAAACATGGAATAAAAAACAAAAGGTATAGATTCAAAAGAAATCAAGTACAAATTAATTTTCGATCAGCAAATATAAATTAAATTTCTGATAAACCGAAGATAAAAAATAGCTAGATATGAACAAACTGAAGGATAGATAGATAGATAGATAGATAGATAGTGTTCTAAGATGCATTATTATAGACATTGTTATTTTACTGAAATTTACTATTACATAATTAAGAGTAATTGCTACATTAAAAATGAAAGTTCCAAGTTTTCCGTGTTGAAATGAAGGTGAATTTGTAATTTAGTGACAGTGTTGGATGCGGACAAAAAAAAACAAAAACAAAAAACAACAACTGGAGAATGACATAAATATTGAATTATAAATTGATGGATAGATTGATTGATGAACTGATTGATAAACTGAGAATAAACTTGGAATATTAGATGCGAAATAGATGAAAAAACTTCAAAACTTTTTGACTTTTCTCTTTGTTAAAATAATTTTTAAAAAGTGAAAAAAAAAAACAAAAAAAAAAAACAAGACGCGTATAAAATGAATGTTTTTAGTGTTTCCCGCCTCGTCAAGAAGCAGACGTTCAGTTTATAAATTTAATTTCTTCATCTTTTGATTTTTAATTATTTGCTTTTTCTTCAATTCTCTCTTTTTTCCCTTTTATTTGCCAAATCTGTAAAAATTGATGATAGATTTATTGGTAGGAATTTTAAAGATATGTGTTATTTTTTAAACGTGCAATGAAAAACACATTATCTATGATGAATAAAAACAAAGGTACGAACGAAACAAAAAAAAACAAAAAAAAAACAAAAAAAAAAAACGAAGCGATTTTGAAGGAAGAATGAGAGAAAAAGAAAGATAAGAAATATTATAATTAGCATTTTTCTTTCTCTTCTTCCTTATATTAACGATACACATTGGATGCATTCATTTTCACACGTTTGTTTTTCAATAAATAAAGATGCTCCCTTGGTGATATGAATCATGGAACGATGGCGTTTTGTACAGCAAATTGTAGATGTAGTGCATCAATATATATACATCCATCCATACATCCAAATATATATATATATATATATATATATATATATATATATATATATATATATATATATGTATGTATAAACACAGTGTGGGCTAAAGGTTAACCATTATACATATATATATATATATATATATATATATATATATATATATATATATATATATATATATATATATATATATATATGTGCGTGATTATGTATATATGCATATATATTATATATATAATAGTTGGGTTGACGCGTTGAAAACTGTTCCATTATTAGTCCATTATATATATATATATATATATATATATATATATATATATATATATATATATATATATATATATTGACTAATTTGTTTTTACAATAGGCCAACACTTGGGTTACTTATATTGTATTATTAGGATTCCAGTTAGGATATATATATATATATATATATATATATATATATATATATATATATATATATATATATATATATATATATATATATATATGTATGTAACCATGGTGGGGATTATGGTTAACGAATCTGTTTAACGCTTATCACATTAACATTATATATATATATATATATATATATATATATATATATATATATATTGGGTTGGCACAAAAAATATTCATTTTTTTTAAGTTAATTTTCTATTTAGTAATCAAAAGAACATGTATACATGTCTTGACGATTTTGATTTTTATCACGTCAACACCTGTTGGGTTATTATCGAACTTCGTATTGGGCACCCATGAGGATATATATATATATATATATATATATATATATATATATATATATATATATATATATATATATATATATATATATATATATATGATCAACTTACAAAGATTGTATCTTTGAAAGTTACTTTTCGGACAGATTACTTGTGAACACTCCCTTGTATATTAATGAATTTTGGTGGTAATTCTTTTCCGAAATATGTTTGATTTCAAAATTTCAAGAAATTTCTTATCATTTATACAAAGGTTGTCTGTTAAATTTTCCCACGAACATTTCTGCAACGCATGTTTTTTTTCTTATGCTGAAAGTGCATATATTACTATCGTCTTAAATTTCATTTTCTTCATATTCCGTTTGAAAGATCAACCTCAAAATCCAATTGAAGTGCAACGATTTACGTCGACATTTTTGAACTTACTGAAACATAACTAGCAGAAATTTGATCACAAAATGGCCAAGTTTTGTGTTATCTACTTTTCTAAAAACGTAGATGCGTCACTTGTATTAGCTTGAAAGAGCTGGATTAACGTTCTTTAAATTATTCATGGAAACTATCTTATTAAAATAATGCTCATTGGTATATAAATAATACAATTATATGCTTCACCATATATATATATATATATATATATATATATATATATATATATATATATATGTGTGTGTGTGTCTGTGTGTGTGTGTGTCTGTGTGTGTGTGTGTGTGTCTGTGTATTAGTCTGTCATACCCGAATTTACTTGGCCTGTAAGTTTACCATTTCCTCTTAACTTTCTAATTACTTCGTATTGTATCATGGCTGTTGTCGCAGCCGTGTGTTCGGGTTGTTCCGCTGGACTGACGGAGTCACATGAAGGCTCTACACTGTTCCGAGGCATCGTCGACATGCTCATAGAACGGGTTGATGTTGATGGTGTTATGCTGTCGTCTACCGTTGCATCAATTGCTTCTCCACTGCAAGCCGAAGTAGTGGCTCCGTCGGTGACGTCAGTACCCAAACTGGTGGCTGGTTTTTTCTTTAGAAGGGTGATCAGTCCAATGAATTTGAAGAAGGGGTGTCGAGTACGTTGTCGGGTGTCGTGTAATTGGTTTACTTCGTTTCTGTTTTGATTGGCTACCACGAGGAACGGTCCGGGTCCCGTCCTAGAATAGGCCGTAGAGCTGCCTTGTCTATCTTTCTTGTCTTTACGCCGCTTGTGGTATTTATAGAAATCAATTGGTAAACACACCATAAAGAATAGTACCATGCAGCCAATGACCAGAAAGACGATGTGTTCACTGCCAAAAAGTCCGCCTGCAAAACAACATGACAATATATTAATCAACTCATTTCATAATTCTTTCACGTCAAATACAACAATTTTTTGTAATTCTAACATTCATCAAATAATCTTTTAAAAGTAAATTGTTGTAAGAAACATATCTTTTTTACTAAATGTTCCCTGAATTATAAGACCCAAGAGCCACTAGAGCGTTACTGAATGAGTTTGTTGTGCGGATGTAAAAGGTTCAGATTACGAGAATACGTAGGATAGATCAAGGTTGACTCTAGATGTTAAGATTGCAGTGATTGAGGAAGCATCCTCTTGGGAGACTTGGGATGTAAAAGATGCAAATTACGAGAATACGTAGGATAGATCAAGATTGACTCTAGATGTTAAGATTGCAGTGATTGAGGAAGCATCCTCTTGGGAGACGGTTATGCTAATTAGCGGTTCGCAGAAAAAAGTTGTCTGAGTGGAATTTCCTTTCTCCTAATAGAATACAAAGAGAATGAGGCTGATATTAACCTGTTTACAGCTAGTAAAGGTCTTGTGAAACTAAGTAATGCAGTTCAGCTGAACATTTTCCATAGAAGTAGTGATAGACTCGCGATAGCCTTGCGACTTTTGGTTAGTGGGAAGGAAGCTGCAGGGCTGAAAATAATTCATCATCTACAAGGGTTTTCGATCTCAAGACTAGAAAGTGAGGGCTGGGAAGTACCAGACCAATACTCCATTTTTGATCTGGTCTCAGTGAGTTGAGGCGAAAGTAATTGTGTTGGGCAATAATAGTTTGGTTAATCAACGATTCAAAAGCAGGAGATCAACGATTCAAAAGCAGAAGATCAACGATATCGTAGTAGAAGATCAACTATTCAAAAGTAGAAAATCAACGATTCAAAAGTAGGAGATCACCTATTCAAAAATAGAAGATCAACGATTCAAAAGTAGATCAACGATTCAAAAGTAGGAGATTAACTATTCAAAAATAGAAGATCAACGATTTAAAAGTAGAAGATCAACGATTCAAAAATAGAAGATCAACGATTCAAAAGTAGATCAACGATTCAAAAGTAGGAGATCAACTATTCAAAAATATAAGATCAACGATTCAAAAGTAGATCAACGATTCAAAAGTAGGAGAATAACTATTCAAAAATAGAAAATCAACGATTCAAAAGTAGATCAACGATTCAAAAGTAGGAGAATAACCATTCAAAAATATAAGATCAACGATTCAAAAGTAGATCAACCATTCAAAAGTAGGAGATTAACTATGCAAAAATAGAAAATCAACGATTTAAAAGTAGAAGATCAACGATTCAAAATTAGAAGATCAACTATTCAAAAGTAGAAGATCAACGATTCAAAAGTAGTAGATCAACGATTTAGTAGTATGAGATCAACTATTTAAAAGTAGAACATCAACGATTCAAAAGTAGGAGATCAACTATTCAAAAATAGAAGATCAACGATTCAAAATTAGAAGATCAATGATTCAAAAATATCAGATCAACGATTCAAAAGTAGATCAACGATTCAAAAATATAAGATCAACGATTCAAATGTAGATCAACGATTCAAAAGTAGGAGATTAACTATTCAAAAATAGAAGATCAACAATTTAAAAGTAGAAGATCAACGATTCAAAAATAGAAGATCAACTACTCAAAAGTAGGGGATTAACGTTTCAAAAATGGAATTACAATGATTCAAAAATAAGAGATCAACGATTCAAAAGTAGATCACCTATTCAAAAGTAGATCACCTATTCAAAAATAGAAGATCAACGGTTCAAAAGTAGATCAACGATTCAAAAGTAGGAGATTAACTATTCAAAAATATAAGATCAACGATTCAAAAGTAGATCAACGATTCAAAAGTAGGAGATTAACTATTCAAAAATAGAAGATCAACGATTCAAAAATAGAAGATCACCTATTCAAAAATAGAAGATCAACGATTCAAAAGTAGATCAACGATTCAAAACTAGGAGATCACCTATTCAAAAATAGAAGATCAACGATTCAAAAGTAGGAAAATAACTATTCAAAAATATAAGATCAACGATTCAAAAGTAGATCAACGATTCAAAAGTAGGAGATTAACTATTCAAAAATAGAAGATCAACAATTTAAAAGTAGAAGATCAACGATTTAAAATTAGAAGATCAACTATTCAAAAGTAGGAGATTAACGTTTCAAAAATGGAATTACAATGATTCAAAAATAGGAGATCAACTATTCAAAAGTAGGAGATCATAGCTTACAATTATATACCTTCTATTAAGACTATTGTGTTCCTGTGTAGTTTCTGAACATACAAACGGGTCCCTCAGATTTTTAACGACTAGTATGCATCCACCTCACGCTGTTTCGATTCCAGTTTGTGTCGATGTTGAAAAACTTAGGAAATGTCAGATGTACCCTCAACAAACAACATGAAGGGGAAAAAAGTCTCGAATACGTTTATCTATAGATATCACATTGGTAGAAAAGAAAGGAGTTCTGTTGGTTTCGATAAACAGGGCATTTTGTTTATGGTTCAGTTCACCTGGCACGGTCTGGGTAACAGCGAAGATGTCAAAAGTGACACATTGGACATCTTCACTGTTATTTCTGTCTTCCCTCGCGACAGTCTAACGGATCAGATTGTCACTTCGGTAAGCGAAGCCGCCGTTTTCCCCCCGGTTATCTGGATCCACATCTCATCTTACTCTGATCGTGATTCTGAGCTTGTCTTTGTCCGTACGACTGCCCTTTATCACGAATGCAGCCTGACTCTATAAGCGCATGACTGAAATTCCCTTCTTCCCGAAGCGGGTACTTATTTATTTATTTATTCATTTTCTCTCCTTTTCCATATTTATGGACACCGGGTGGTTGCTTTGAAATTCTCGTATCTCGATTTTACAAGCAACGTCGTTGGTTGCCATAAAACCAGACCCAGATAAAACCATTTACAGTCCAAGTGTAATCGTCAACACCCTCCCCAGCCGTCCAAGACTTCCATCACAGCGGTTGGTCGCTGAAGTGACCGCTTCAATCTAGAGTTAACGTTATCCCACGTTGTGTTTTAAGGTTGATCATAAGGCAGCTAAGATCGAATCGTCGCAGGTATCTTTGTGTTGGGCTTGTCCAAACAGGGCGATGACGTACACGAAAAAAAAAATAACACTCGAATAAATTGAACAAAATTAAATACTGTTTTTATATCAGTCTCCGTACAATAATTGGTTTATATCAGCGTTCGCATGCAATTATCATCCTAACCTGCGTCTAAGTCGGAAGTGATATTATTGTTGACCTGGCCAAATCTGATTTGCTGTTGTTGATAAGGTTTGGCACAAGGCTGAAATCGGAGGCATTCGTTGGCATATAATCACGTGGACCTCTCTCTCCTGTCTCTGGTCTCGTCTCCCTTTCTTCTGCATCTCTTCTCTCTTCTGCCGAATTCGCTCCGCGCATTCGTATTTATGGACATTCGCCCAAACTGGCGTAGTAAGAGAATTCGATCATTCTAGGGAACTCCCTTCTTCCACTCTCTCATATTATTACCTCTCACTAAATCTCCTCATTGAGCGTGGGTGGCTTATACACCCCCCTCCTGCCATTTCAACTCAACTTTCGACCAGGGGAATCAACTCCACATTCGTTGTTTACGAAAAATGAAATTTTCGTTTTACAGCTTACATTTTCAGCTATGTGACAATCAACATTGCTTCCTTCAGTCTGGGTAACTTTTCCATTGTTCAAACTACTCGACATACAGTTTAAGTCGTTTATGTGTGAATTAAATCCTCAATTCTTCGCACGGGTTTTCTTGGTATTAACCCTTCTCGTTTCAATGTATTTCAGTACATAACACTTTCTTATGTTTTAACAAAACTTCCTTCTGTTTTACCGCGGCAACGACAAACAGTATCACACAATTTGCTACTTGGCTATCGTAACCAATCGAGTGGGGAATCATCATGTCACAGTTACCGTCACTGTTATCGGCGAAAAGAGTGAAATCGACGAGTCTAGTTTGTTGGGATCACTTCGCACTAATACTCCTGGGAAAGGCATTAATCTATTTCTTCTCCACCAGCTGTGGATGGAATAGCTCGATAGTCTGGGCTCCTTCGTCTTGGGTGACAACCAGTCTAGAATAAAGGCAATAATTAATTAAAAACCTTTGAGAAGGCAACGAAAAAAAAAAAAACACTCCAAAATCTTTCCCCCCAAATATATAATTGATAATTCTTCATATAATAAAATGAATCTGTCAAAATATATAATGATCATAATATGTTCTGAATAGACATATAATTAAAATAATCATCAAATATAAATGAACAGATGATTCAGTAATAATGGTATATAATGATAATTCTTCATAATATATAATAATGATAATTCTTCATAATATATAATAATGATAATTCTTCATAATATATAATAATGATAATTCTTCATAATATATAATAATGATAATTCTTCATCTCGTAATCGAACGTAATTTGTGTGTGTCTTTTTTATGAATGGTGTGTCAATATGAATCTCAAGTGTTTCTTTTATTCCTTCAGCAGTAAGTACAGAAGATTATTTTCATTCTTTCAAATGACTTCACGGATTAAATAGGTTCCTTGTTAAATCCGCAGGCAATAATATTTAAGAAAACATTGCAAAAGATTATCTGATACTTTCGGTTTAACCTTTATTTGATAATAAATTCCAAATAGATGTAGAATAATAATAATAATAATAATAATAATAATAATAATAATAATAGTATGAACACCACCCAGACTCGGTT